GAAAATGAAGAGAGAGATAAGAATCGAAATTTATTTCTCTAAATCAAAATTAGGGATAGAAATTTCACCAAATGGGCAAGAAAACGAACATCGCTAACTTCACTTCTGTATTTATGCTTATTAAGGACATAGGTGCATCACGGAGCTTTCGCTGCGAATTTCTGTGCATAACAAATATTTGACAACAATGTAATTTATGTGCTAAGCTTTTTGTTCTCTAATATGACCAACCATTCAGACAATGTCTTCTCTACGCCTAACAGGGTAACGGGGAAAAAGAAGTGGGGGTAGGGAAAGGCCGCACACTAGTAGGTATGTGCTCAATCGGAAAGTGTTCTGCCCTTGCTGAGCGAGAACTCATTATAGCTACCTGCAAGTATGACCACAGAAACCGGTGTCCTTCTTGACTCGGTTATGCGGCATGTCTGAGGTTGATACACATAGATCGAGTTAGTAGTTCGTGACATTGTTTAGGGACTGAAAAGAACAATAATTGGATAATAATAGTTCGTCATTCTTCGTGATGCAATATTGCTCCATCCGTATATATATATAGACAGCGACGAGGAGGGGGCTGTTATAAGACTATATTGGAATGGCCATCGACGGCCTACAGTCGACTGGGGCCATTAGCCCACCGTTCGAAAAATCGAATTTAGTTAGATTTAGGTTTTCTTGCTTAACGATTCAATGCCTTGCGTCCGACTTAGCAGCTTACCGGTATAAATAGCGAATTTAATTTGAGATTTCCATCCTTTCCATGCGAAGGGTTTTTGCAAAACCTGCATATGCACTGAAATAAATGGAAAATATCTGAAATTAATTGAAAGGCGATCCTTAGAACTGCTTATCAGAATTGAAACGACAGCAAAAAATAGCTCCCTGCAAACACAATTAATTGAAGAGAAGGATCAGCTTCATACGAATTGACTTTTGTCTATAAATTAAATGCGCGTGTAGGGGTGCTTACACAAATGTATAATTCATAACATTTGAAACACGTAGAGATATTAATTTGTTAAAGTCAAGTTATTATTGAATAATATGACAACATGTGGGAAACTTGTAGCATCACTTTGCGCAGCATGAAAAGCCCCCATCGTAGCGATGCGATACAATGGCAATAAAATAAATTCATTATAATTGGATTGTCATACCCCCTCAGCTAGAGAGATAAAGGAGATTGGCTTTATTAAAATGCACTCGAATGCATGCTCGAGGTGATATCTCTTTAGCTTTAGTTTTATGATTGTTTAATGTCAGACGTATCGTCTTACGGTAAATTAAAATACCTAACTATTCTTAAACTACCCCTAGAGAGCTCTAATTTCCTTGCCGTACCTCCGACATATGTATAAGAATTTTAATGTCTGATGATAAATAAAATAAACTTAATGTCAAGTTACAAGTAGTTGAAGTCATGAAAGCAGCGATTGGCTGGCTGGCTGGCTGGCTGGCTGGCTCGTAGTTGGATTTTAAAATGTAAATAAATAAATAAATAAATAAATAATTCTTTTTGGCTTTGATGTGATTGCGCATCAGTGCATAAAATTGCTCGCATTCAGTCATAAATTGTTGCTGTCTTAACGTTAATTGTATGTCAAATGTGAAAAATGCACTAGAAGTCGAAAGCAAGCAGTCAAACAGTCAAATCGATTCACTTTTTCAATTCGTTTATAAATTTTAGAAAAACAGCAACAACACCAACAACAGCAAGAATTGCAAGACAGTAAGAAAAAGTCTCATTTAACATATTTTACTGATGCTTGATGGTTTATGAAGGCCAATTACTTTACGGCCTGGCAACGATGATGATGACGACAATGATGATGATGATCATGATGTCGACGATGTTGAAGAAAAAGTCAGTGACGACTACATTGATTATAATGATGTTAGAGAAACGGCAAATACTGTGAGATTTCAATTCAATAGCCATACGAACCATACGATAGTAACAACTTCGCAATTACAACAAACAGCTCGATAACTAACTAATAAACAATTGCCGATCAAATCGTTGTAGTAAATTATAAATTTGCGGCTGACATTTCCTACTCTCGTCTGAAGACATGTACACGTATAGGACGCCACCACACCAATGCTTATTCTTACCGCTTATCTCTTTGGTTAAACTATTTCTAAAAAGCAAGAAAACCAAAATAAAACTATAGCAAAAGTTTAAAGTTTAACTAAAGCTTAACGGTAACAGACTGATGTTATTGTAGTTGCTATAGTTAAACTCTTAGCTTCTTAACCGGCCGGTAAGTTGTCGTGTATGTAGACAAATATAACAACAAGTTTATTTGTTGCTCAATGAAAATGCAAACAATCTCCGCCTTATGTATGTGTTTTCACTTTTATTTCGTGTATTTTTACTTTTTTTTTGTTTTCGTATTTGGTTTTCAAAAACATCGAAATCGTCT